TATATATATATATATATATATATATATATATATATATATTTTCTTACGTCCTTATTTTTAAAGTAAAAGCATAATCCACAATAGACATTCAATGACATACAGTATACATAAAAGCATGTGCCTATGTTGATTAAATGGAATTAGAATAGTTCTAGGAGACTCAATTTTAATTAAGATGCTATCGTGTGTTCTGAAGGGCATAAATTCATTTTCATCCATAAAGCTGTTCTCAAGTAATAAGCTTCAAAACTTCAAGTAGGGAGCCTAACATAAACTTTAGTCATTTTGGTTGGTTCAGTTATATATAGTTTATTTATATTTCTAGAAGGTTGATATAATTGAAGTGGGTTTTTGAAAATCAACTGAACATCTTTGTGCAGATCAAGTATTCTGTCATGCACCCCGGGACTCACGTCTGGCCTCACACAGGACCCACTAACTGTAGGTTGAGGATGCATTTAGGCTTGGTCATTCCTAAAGAAGGCTGCAGGATACGGTGTGCTGAAGAAACCAGGTATCTTTTCCTCTCCTCACAACATATTTTTTTCTAGAGTATCGAGAGCCATGATGCTAAGAGCTGGTATAGAATCCAAGAGAAACATCTCCATTGTAAGCTAAGCTAGCAAAAAAGCCATCAGAGAGAGTAGTACGAATATAAATCTTAGAATCCTGCTTATCTTCACCTAGTCAGGTCTACTACAGTATCTGTACTTAACAATATCTACATAGCGGAGATGGGTTGCTCCCGGTTTGGCCTGGTTCGACTGAACTGATAGTGGTATTTTGGCCTGGGTCGCAGAACCGGCAGCGACCCAGGCTGGCCATGCCCCCAAATCGGTTCCCTGGTCACTGCTGCCATTTCCAGCATGTTTAGTAGTGCTTGTGCATGTGCAGTTCACTGTAAATTGTTCTGCACATGCGCGAAGAACAATTTACATTGAACTGTGCATACACATGCGGCTCACATCTGGAATGCGTGCGAAGTGAACCGGTAGTAAAACCGGGAGCAACCCACCTCTGCTACATAGGCATTGAATTAGGCATCATGCAAGCTCCTGCTTCATCTGAGTGTCATATAATTTTGAGATTATTACCATTGTTCTTAATGGTATGCAAAGTGAAGCACAGCTTTTAGCTTCATAATTGTTGTGCTATGCTATGGGGCTGCAATCCAAACATTCTTTTTTGCATGAGTGCCCACTGAACGCCCCTCCCCTCCTTTAAAAAAAGTGAATTTGAGTGGGGAAGGTAAAGAGTATTCTGAGAAGCTGTGATGATGATGCAATGAAAAATAGGGGGATATACAGTAGGGGATACAAATAAAAAAGTCAAGATGGCAAGCTGCAAAAGTGTAATCGAAGCCCTGTTCCTTTGTAAGTGCAGGGTACAGTTGCAATGCATGTAAAAAAAGAAGAAGAATTATTTCAATCCCATAGTTGCAGCTATCTTTATGACTGTTTTGACACACATGCATATGCATGGATAACAGAGTTTATTTCCTGGCAAATCGGATTCATATGATTGGTCAAATTGTGAGGGTGCCAGTATTAGGCTGTCAACATTCCTGGTGTCCAATGGCACAAAAAAAAACCCACCCCTCTCTCCTTTTTGGGTTACTCTTGTTAATTCAAGACTAAAAACCAGCCCAGGAAACGAGAGCTAATTTCTAATATCACTTAACAGCTGACACATTGCTCTCTTAGTTCATCTCTACATAATATAAATGAGTTGAAATCTTTGTAATATACCTTACAATTTTGTCTTGCCTAGTCTTGATTGGTGTTTTTTTCAACTGTTCTTGCTATAATACCTGTTTGAATGTTCAGCAACTTCAAAATGTGGTATTATTTCACACAGTGTTACAGTTTCTTCCTTCTTATCATGTGCATCTCCCACGTTGCCTTTATTTCCTTACCTATTATCCCATAATGTGTCAGTCGATGGGACTTGTGCATTTGGAAGTGAAAAAAAATCCAAGGAATAAGGCATAGTTGCAAACACTATTTCAGATTTTTTTTTTCTTATGGAGAAATAGTACGCATAGTACATTTTCTGTGAAAGCCTCTGGGTCAGTATAAACAGGTTAGCTCCCATCAAGGTTATCAGTTTTTCACTTGGTAGAATGAAAGATATAGTAACTACAGGAAGTCCTCAATTTAGAACCACAATTGTGACTGGAACTTCTGTTTCTAAGTGAGGGAGTTGTTAAGTGAGTCATGTCTGATTTTATGACCTTTTTTCCACGGCTGTTAAATGAATTACTAGTTGTTAAATGAATCACGCAGTCATTAAGAATATCCAACTTCTCCCATTGACTTTCCTCATTGGAAGTCAGCTAGGAAGGTGAATGAATGACAGTCATTTGAGGCTAGGACTCTGTAACAAATATATGTTGGTTACCAAGTGCCCAGATTTTGATTATGTGACCATGGAGACACTGCAACAGTTCTTAAATGTGAGGTCATAAGTCAGTTTTTTCAATGCTATCATAGGTTCAAATGATCTTTAAACAATAGTTGTAAGTCAAAGAGCACCAGTAGGATACTATAGATAAACCATGTCACTTTGATCAGCTATGTAGATTTTGCATCTAGGATGTAGATACAATTGGAAAAGTTTTGAGTTCTCATAGGCATCAGGTAAAATATAATTTGTTTTTTTTTCCATTTCAGATTCTGGGAAGAAGGGAAGATTCTCATTTTTGATGATTCTTTTGAACATGAAGTATGGCAAGATGCTAATGCTTATCGGCTGATATTCATTGTGGATGTCTGGCACCCAGAGTTAACATCACAACAGCGACGCACCCTACCAGCTATTTAAGTAGTCTTGAAGTTTTTCCCTTTTGAGCGTCACACTGTGTGCTGAGAAGTACAACAAAAATTAAATGCAACTGTATCAAGAATGTGTAAGGACTTTAAAGCATCCTGTTCTGTGCACCGCCCAATTACAGCACAGATCTGAATGCTCTGTATTCATGCTGCAAGTTGGAATTCTATGCCTTCATCAGCCAAAGAACATCCTGTGCTACATTTTGAAAGAAAACTTGTGCCAGATTTTTTTGATATATATTTTTGGAACGCCTTCACGTAAAAGCCACCTTCAAAAGCCTGAATGTAATCATAAAGAATGCAGATTTCCAGACTGTGCAATTTCTGATCATTATGAGAAGGTTATTCAGAAGCAGTATTTAGTGCATTGTGTCCTCAAGCACTACATCTACCACTCATGATAAAAGCAACTATAAGCTCTTATAGAACAAAATGAAAATTCATTATTGCTATCTTTTATAATTCTACATTGGTTTCGTCCAGTGGATTTGTAGTGTGACCTGTAGATAAGAGGAACAGGTGGCTTTCTATTTTATTTTTGATAGATAAAGACATTTTTTCATCAGAAATAATATGTATGGATACTTTTATTCTGTTCTATTTTAACCACTTTCTTTTTCAACTTTTCTTTTAGTTCTCTTTTTATATTAATTTAGAAACAGTGAAGCCTTCAAGCAACAATCTATTTTACTGGGGTAGCTTTTTCCTTCCAAGTCAAAGGATGAGTAAACATTACCTTTGTCCAATTCTAGTTAAGAGCAAACTTTATCCAATTTTGTGTTTATTTCTATTTTCTTTATAACATAAAAACATATTTTAAGCTTAGATAAAGTGCATACAGGCTTTAGGCTGCAATTTTTTTCACCAACTTTTTAATGCAGTTTTTTTTTTAAAGAAACTTTCTTAATCTAAAGCTTGATTAAGAAATAATTGATATCTGGAGCCATTTTGTAACATTTTTGTTTTCAATTACAGCCAATTTCATATCATACATGAAAATAAGACAGAGAAAGTAACATATAAATATAGTTCTGTGGTGTTTGTTGGTATTCCCATTCATGAATGATCGTGAAACTTTTTTAATGATTTATTTTCATTCAACCTAACAGTGCCAACCTTTGAATCTCTTTTCTCTTTTTTTGCTATTGAAGCCACTATATAATTTTACATTCATCTCTGATGATGCAATAAACAATACTGACATTTAAACAGCTTTGCATAGATGTTTCAAATTACGACCACTAAGACTAGTTATAAGCAATTAATTGCTCATTGTCAAAAGGTATAGGATTGGTGAAATTTTATGCAGAGAAATGTGCCAAGGTACACATTCCGAATGTAGATCTGCAAAATTTAACAGGTGCTCCTGGAAATAATTTCTGGTCATAATTCGTGCAAAATACAGCATTTCATAGATTGAATAATCTCTTAATCTGCCTTGATTGTTGTTTGTTCCTTGCTATGACAAAAGTTGTCAAACTGAGGGTTGGAAACATCTTAAAGAGTTCCAGAGTTGAAATAATGTATATTGTCTGAGGTTTGATATTCATGCTAATACTAAAAATTGTATAAATCAATTTTCCAGCTGCCTCTTTTTCTTATCACAGCCACAAGGACTGTGTAAACTGCCTACAATTCTTCTTCTTTTTAATTATTTATGTTATAGAAAACTATGTTGTTTGGCGTCTCTCAGAAATATTATTGAGTCTTTATTCGGCATCTCTGCCAAATAAATAGTATATCTTTTGCAACTTGCTAGTCTGGTAGCAGCCCATCAATAGTGTACCTGTTTCTTTGGAATTCCTGTAAAATATGCAAGTTATAGAATTTCAGTTTTTTTAACAAAAATATTTTAAATGACTAGTCTTCCATAATGGATTTTGGGGAAGGTAAATATAGAAAGCAAATAGCTAACTATACCCAGTCTGCTGATTAAAGTTTGGAGCACCCTTTTAGTATGATTCTATTGTTGCTATAAAAAACAAATATGGGCCAAAAATAAATGATAGATGGTGTGGAAGGTGCCTCTAATGAATATGCAAATTTATGTGTCCTTCCCATTAAAAAAGATAGACTCCCATTTAATTTTTTTTAATTTCAAATAAAATATTTTATGTAGTAAAGTTGCAAGATTCTATCATTGCTTTTTGATATATAATTTGTTATTCAATAATTACAAAGAGTATTTTATAGAAAAGAATATCTATAGCTCATGATAGAATTGTGGAGTTCTTGGCATTCTTCGGACTTGGTTCGTTTGTAGATGTTTCCTTACCCAACTAAATAACATCATCAGTAGGGTTCATCTGTCAGCAAACAATCAAACTCAGAGAATACCAAGACTCCATATTTATTTCATGTACAACCCTAATCAAAATAAAATTATTAATTTAATTCCTGGGAAGAGGGGTTCTCATACACATTCATTATCATTTTAGGATGATATTTCAAAATTTAAGAATGCTTGTGGTATGGCATTCTGTGCCTTAAATTCAAGAGCTTTCAAAACTAGTGCATGGCTGCTGGTGTATGTGCATGGGTGTACAGATGCACAGAGAGAGACAGGCCCTAGAGCTGTACATCCTTTAAAGAGAAGCTCTGGACCTTATGAGGAACAAGGCCATCATTTCTATAGTATTAATGGATCAAAAGCATCTTTTTATTTTCAGGATTCCCCGTGAACTAATGCCTTATAGCAGTAACTGCTCCATTTTTAATTCTGGTGCAGAAAATTCAAAAACAGATGCATTAATAAATATGCAAAGGCTCAAGGTTCATGCTTTGGTAAAGTCCAAAGCATTATTTCCAAATAATTTTACTATCCTAACACATGCACCACATTCTGTTTCAGTATCAAATCTGAGTTTTGACTCAAAGTAATGAAGCACAGTTTCCTTGAACTACTGCTGCTAGCAACCCTTAACTGAAAAGTATATTGCACAGGGTATACATGTTTCGGTTTTGACTTTTTTATTTTAAAAGTTATTATACTCCTCTATGTTACTGTAAGAAGCATATTAAAAAAGTGATGCACTGTACAACTGCAGACTTAAAGCGTATTGATCCTCAACCTTAGTAATACTAAGATTCTTCAGGAAAGATATTCCTGTGATATTTTCAAAGTATATTATAATCTTCACACAAGCTTATTTACTTCACAATTTCAGGATTTATTATCTGAGTTGAAATTGCTACCTTGAATGTCTGTGGATTTTATGTATAGCACACCAATAAGATGTCTGACTTTTTTTTCTTTGTTTTGGCCACCATAAACGTTAAAATCTCATGCCCAACCATTTTTGTCCACCGCAGGCATAATTGATTGGTACAATATCCTTCTTGGGATTATTGAGTGGGTACCTAAATTTACAGAGCTAACTGCCAAACATTGATCAATAGCAATAACCCTAACCCATGTGGCATGGAAGAATCTGAGAGGCAGCTGAAATCAGTGGATGTAATCAATTAGTGTGTAAAACCCACTGAAAGCAAGAAACATATGTGAAAGTGGTGAGTAGTGAGTGAAAAAAGAACAAGTGCCAAACATTCTTTCATTGTGAAAATAAATTACACATGTCTTTAGATAGGTTTTTAATGCTTGTTGAAGCCTGTTTTCAAAATTTACAATGCATTTGGTCATTGTTTTTGGAGGGTATGACATCCTCCTGAAACATAAGTGCAGCACATTTTCCCTAAATCATACATTGATTAAAAACTCACTTGCTTGGTTATGATTAACAGTTTTCATTGTTGGTTCCATGGCAAAAAAAACAACAACCAAAAAACGTTGATTTTTGACCCGGACAAGCTGTGGTCCAGAGTAAGCTTCCTTTATGAATGGAGACCCTGTATTTCACTTCGAAGAAAGGACTGATGGAGCATTACTGGTTTCATAGAAGAAAGAAAGTCATACTCAGCTCTTGGACAATAGCAATGTTAATTAAAGTATATTATCTCTGTAGAAAAATGTACAAGCAATATTTTAGCACTGTAGATTAGACAATTCCTGAAAAATCAAGTCCCCACTAAAGATGTTTGATAGCAACATATGATTTGATTCATCATTTATGGCCACTGCTGAAAAACATCACTGCTTCAGACCACCACCTAGGAGTTGCATAGCCATCCTTGGTCAATGGTGATTAAACCTCTTTAGAATATGGTTTAAATATTCTCTGATTAAAAATTGCTAAATACTGCTATGTCATATTTTGATATCCAACTGAAGTGCTTACTGTATCTGAAGAAATAAAATGACAATAAAAATAATGTTGATATAACTGATTTGTTTAAAAAAAAAGTGTTTGAATTGAATGGAGCCCAAAACAGAACAAAGTTAGCATAGCAATCTGTTCTTTGGCTTTTGATCTCTGGATATTTTATGATTTATTCCACTTTTCTTTCTAATGGTAGTATATTCAATAACTGATCCCAAGCTTTTTCTTTCTATTATAAACATAACCAAATATGCAGTCAGTAAACCTGACTTGGCTAGATCTTTAACTGATTGCAGGAGAAAATATACTTAAGGGAATTCTGCTGAGCTCAATTGACCTAAACGAGAAATCCTCAATTGGAATATTAATCTCCCAAGACATTCAAGACACCCTGCTTGTGTTTGCATGTATTTCACACATGCCAACTTTCCCAGCTGGGTGCCCTCCAAAAAGGTTAGATTACAATTTCTACTATCCCTAGTAAATATGATCGATACCATGCTGCTGGTGATAATGGAAGATTAATTAGGAAAAACTTTGGACGTGATACTTCTGTGCTGCAAACCAAGCTTGGCTTCTTACTGCAATACTTAAGACATTTTTAAAGTGGTGGTGTAAATACATATGTATGTGTATATGCACAGGCATGCATGCCTTCTAATTTTTATTTAAACAAAACTGTAAATATCTCCCTAAACAATACGAGAGGACTTCAATGGATTCATCTTTCAGTGACAGATCACTGAAAGCAATCTGTGTTCCAGACATTATTAATATAATGCACTCTTATAAAAAAATTGTTTTACAATCAGACTTGTTCACTTGTTATTCTGGGCCACAAGGAATAGTTTACCTCTGGCTTTGGACACAGACACATGGCTGGTGATAATCATTACTTGCTCCACAAAGATGGAGTGCTTGGGGATTTTTTAAGCTGAATGCACATTAATGTGTATTAAACTTGTCATTCGCTTCAGAAGGATTGTGGACCACTGAAGTCTGAAGATACAGCTGCATTTCACAGGGCTTTCAATCTCAGTCTAGAGCTAGTAGTGGCTGGGTGTTCTCATTCACATTCTGTTCTTCGTGCTTTAATATGCCGTGTTCCACCACAGATTGAGACCTGAAAAAAGCAGAATGGTAAATATTGCTTAGAAATTAAATAGCATGCCTGTTGTTTGTTGCTATTGTCTTTTCGGACACAAAATTCACACAAAGTAGCTGGCAGCTGTATATTTTTCCACTCCTGAAAAAACCTGGAAGCCGATTTGGTTCAGGTACTATTATGAGAACTCTAAATCAGAGGTCCCCAATTCCAGCAACCAACATGCCAGCAACTGGTTCACACAAACAAGTGAAGCCCCATCCATGGCATGCCGGTAGCATGCAAAACCATGTCCCCTCTGGTCCACTGAAAAATCTTTCTCCATGGAACTGGTCCCTGGTGCCCAAAATCTGTTGTCCAATAAATCTAAACCTTTGACTTTGGGACAGTCTTAGTTCAGATAGGAAGGAATACCATCTCTTTGCAATGGAGAGGTGGGGAAATCCGTTCTTTTCAAAGAATTGTTTTAAAATAATGCCAATGGCAGGTGAGAAGTCTGTGTACTGCAGTATTTTATCACACCAATTTTCAAAGAATGAATGTAGCAATAACTGAATAATATTCCAAAATGCTGTGAGATCTACTACACAGAACTGAATTAATGGTGGACTGTGATTCATTCATGTTAAATGTCATTTATCCATTAACTAAATTTAAAAAGTAGATATTATATTCTACCTAAATCGTCACCAGCAGTTACTTTAACACTATTACTGGGTAAAAATAGAAATGCCACCATTTTCTCTCTTTTTTAAAACTATTAATAAAAATTATCTTGGGAATAGGAAATCAATTCCAGCTTGTTGTTTTCTTTCCAAGGACAAATGATCTCTTCATTGAGAGAAAGGGGAGAGGCTGCTTTGCTTCTATAATTTTCTAACTTTCAAATTAAGTCTTTGATCATTTGCAATGAATTGAAAAGACTTACTCCTTTATCAAAGCTAATTTGCAAGATAAAGATTTGAGCCTCCGACTCATATTCGAATCTTAGGCTCAACTAAGAAAACGGCATGGAATGAAAAGCAAACATATTTCCTATGATTAGTTTGTCCTTTATGAATCAACCAAAGTAATATAATATTATAATAATCTAGGTCCGTGATGGCCAACCTATGCCATGCGTGCCAGAGGTGGCACACAGAGCCCTGTCTGTGGGCACGCATGCTGAAGCCAGCTGCTCTTTTCTGGGTTTTGGTGTGCGCATGCCACAGAGGGGGCATACTTGAAAGACCAGCTGTCCGTGCACATGTGTGCAGCAAAACCTGGAAGAGTAACTGGCTGCCACATGCATGTGCACCAGCTGGCTGCTCTCTTTCAGGTTCCAATGCTCTGGCGCATGCATACGTGCTCCAGTTTTGGCACTCAGTGCCAAAAGGGTTAACCATCACTAGGTAGTTTACTGCTAAAGAAAGAATAATATCTCTGCTATTCATGATTCTACACACTCGAACATTGGTCTAGAAATCCCTTTCTGTAATTCTAGGTTAATATTATACCAAGTTTTTTTAAAAAACCAATCTATACCTGCTCCCTTAAAGATCAAAATGTATTATTCATTCTTGTTTGTTATTCTGAGGAAGGGAGGCTGCTGCCGAAGTGTAATCATATTGATATAAGAAATTCCCAGCAAGCCAAGTCAATATTACCAAAGGTTGACGATACTGGACTTTGTACCTCATGGACATCTAGAAAGCTACAATATTTAAAAACTCCTAAATATTATTGTCCTCCTGCTGTGCATTTTGCTTTGTAGAGAGTAGATAAGCTATGAAACAGGCCAGGTAGTTGTCCTAAAATGCTTTTCCAAAAACTGAAAAGTTCCAACTGGACTTTCTTTCTTTTTTTCTTTGAAAACATTTTGCTTCTCATCCAAGAAGCTTCTTCACTTCTGAGAAGCTAAATGAAGCATGATCTTGCTTGATTAGAAGTTGATAAGAAAGTCACCTCTCCTCAAGAGGCCATTGCTTTATCCTTGACTTTGTGACAATTTTAATCCAGGCTTCAAGTTCTCTTTTAGGCTCATAGCTCCAAAGGATCCTGGAGAAAACAGAATTATCTAAGAGCTCTTTAGGTTGGATTCAGGCTGGGGCATAGCACCAAGACAACATTAATCACTGTCGATAATTGTTCTGTTGTGAGAATTTGAGGAAGAACAGGCTCTAACTCAACTCTAGCAAGATTAAATGGCTATAGGTTTTAGGCAGGAGTGAGTTCCTACCGGCTGAACAACCAGTTTGCTTCACATGTGCTTTGTGCTTGTGCTTAGTTTAGCAAAAATTGAATTTCCACATTGCAAACAAGGAAAGGAGCAAGGAACACAGCTGAAGGGCGGCAATTCAATCTGCCGCCAATGATCAGCTGGGCTTCAGAAGCAGAAATAAAGGCCAGTATGGCAGGTTTTCACAGAAACAGAGAACCGGTTCGCTCTCGGCTTGTAATCAAAGCTAACGGTTTGGCCAAACTGGGCAAAACCGATAGGAACCCACCACTGGTTTTAGGGACCACCACATCTGGAGAGTTTCCATCAATAACTCTGGATGTTGTACCCCTCTGACAGTCTGAACTGGTGTGTCATCTAAGGGTGCTCCTGAGCTCCCACAGGTGGCAGCTGTGGCCACACTGTTGTACTTCTTTGTGGATTGAGTTGTTCTGCTCATAGTTACTCATGTATTAATGACTTCCTGATTGGATTATTGTAATATGATGTGTGTGAAAATGCCCTGAAAGTGTATTTTGAAACCCAAAGCTGGTCCAGAATGCAGGAACCCAGAATGTTATCCCTAGATAAAATCATATAACATCATTGACCTGGGTTTGCTTCCAGTAAGTTTCTGGGTGCAATTCAAGGTGTTCTTAATCCAGTCTGAAGCCCTTTATGGCATACATCTAGGTTAGTTGAGAGACTGCCTGATTCTGGTATTTTCTCTGCATCTCACCTGATTCAGCATGGTAAGCAAGTTCCAGGTGCCTTTTGTGAAATAGTGTTTTCATATGAAGCAAACCCAGGTCAACTTAGGAGGTGTGCCTTCTCTGCTCTGATACCCGCACCATGAAACAGCCTTCACCCTGAAGACTGGGTGGTCCTAACCTGTTAGCCCTTTGAAAGAACTCAAAACCCAGCTCTTCCCTCAGTCCTTAGAACTAGAATGTTAATAAACATTTGTGGTTCTGCCCTTATTATTTGAGACTTTTTTTTCTGTATCTATTTTCTATATGATTTTTCTACTCCTTTTATGTACTTGTTAGCTGTCCAGAATTGTTTGAGCAGTAAGAGAAGAAGTCATATAAATTTGATAAATTTGCATAATTATAGCTTTGAAGTATAATCCTCCTTTTTTATCTGTAAGCATATAACAACTTTCCATGAAATATTAAATAAATCAAATTCAGCTTTAAAGTTAGTTTCAGTTTAATTTTAAAAAATGTGTAAAACCCCAATCATCAATTCCCCAGCTTTTTATTTCTGTCCCATTGTTTTATTTCTGTCTTCTTAACAGCCTTATTTGCTACAACCAATGTGTGGGAGAGGGGGAGGGAGGAACCAGGACTGTTCTGTTGAGTTTAGTTGAGCTTCGTGCCTTTTAAATTATGACCAATCGATCAGGCCACATTGCAAAGCTTACAAATGCAATAGCAGAATTGGAAGGGACCTTGGAGGTCTTCTAGTCCAACCCCCTGCCTAGGCAGGAAACACTATACTGTTTCAGACAAATGGCTATCCAACATCTTTTTAAAAACTTCCAATGTTGGGGCATTCACAACTTCTGGAGACAAGCTGTTCCACTGATTAATTGGTCATAATTTAAAAGGCACGAAGCTCAACTAAACTCAACAGAACAGTCCTGGTTCCTCCCTCCCC